TTAAGGAATTTTATAGGAATAATCCTTAAGTGAACTATTCGAGGGTATACTAACTCCATAATAAAGATAGAGGGTATGATCTATCCACTTTTTTTTTTTTGACTTGTATCGCGCTCTATTTACGCGACACAAAAATGTGGCGGAGGTGACAAATAAACTATACCTTTGTTATGGTGTCAGTGTTGGCCCATGATGGGGATTTTGTTCCGTTTAAAGCCTAGATTGTGCATATACCCATAATGATATTTTTTCCTTTTAAAAAAAGTTGGTCTAAATAAAAAAAAGTAGTTGGGGCATTTGCATACATACCCCTTAAATCTTTCAACACTACAAAACTTTTGTCACTTTACTAATTATTATAGACAGTGATTTAAAGATAAAACCAACTCTTAATTATCAATTTCTTATCTCTTATTAATCCAATTTTATGTGCAATTAAGCAAAAATGTGTACCAACTCTTAATTATCAATTTCTTATCTCTTATTAATCCAATTTTATGTGCAATTAAGCAAAAATGTGTATGTTCATTACTTTGTAATTTAAAAACATTAGAATAAGTTAAAAATATGTGCAATTAAGCAAAAATGTGTATGTTCATTACTTTGTAATTTAAAAACATTAGAATAAGTTAAAAAAAATTTCATCTCTTTACTAATTACTATAGATAGATACATTTTAAGATTTAAACTAACTCCTAATTAATAATTTATTCTCTTGTAGTTTAAATATATTAGGATAGGTTAACAAGTTTTCACATTTTACTAATTATCATAGATGATTAAACTTAAAGATAAAACTCCTAATCATCAATTTCTTATTAGTATCAATTTAACATTTTCACATGCAATGAAACACATACATATGGTATATATTTAAATATTATTACCACAATTTCTCATTTAATTAATTATTTATATTAATTAGTATAGGATAACAACATATAATTTCTAAAAGGCTCAGGGTGCTTTTGTCCATGGAAAGTTTTTTCCAAACTCACATTTTAAAAAAGAGTATGATTTTTTAACAAGTCCTCAAATCTTAATTTCTTTCAACTGTCATTATTTGAACTTTTTGCTCTCTTTCCACCAACAGTTTCATCCTCACTATTTTCTTTATATATCAGCGTAAATAGTTGTATATAAATATGTGTATAGAATCTTGGTGGTCTAATTAGCTGTATTATAAAAAGAACTTATCATATTTTCTTTATGTCTTTTATAAGCTAAATAAAAATAGTTCAATTATGTAGGTGGGTTTAACCTATTTCCATGCTATGAAATGATTTAGAATAAGTCTTAAAGAAAGAGAGAAAACAAAAGGTAAAAGGGATTTTTTCATTAAATTACAAGTTTGTCTTTTCAATAACAAGAAGAAGTAAGCCATAACCTGAGTTGAGCTAGAATCCATTTAAGCGGATAGGAGAAATTGTCCTTCTAACTTTTTCTCTCATTCATTTTGGTTTGGGGTTCTTGAATCCACTTACTATCTGTAGGATGTGTGCTATGATATGTATCACATGTCAATACGAATTTCAAAGCAAAATATATAGATGAAAGCTGGTTGAACAATTAATCCTATCCACTAAAATGGATTCTAGCTCAACTCGACAGATTCTTTATTCATTCAAAGTTTTATTTGCCTTCACTTTTTTTTTCTATTTTAATAATATAAATATCCAACTACATGGGATCTTTTTGTAATATGAAGGATATTTAGGAACAGTAAAGTAAACAAAGAGTAGAAATAAAAGAAGAGGAAGAAAATAACTTCTCATCACCTTAATTTACAAATCTTGTTTGAATGATAAAAATTGAAAAAATGTTAAAGTTGAGATGACAAAATGATGTGTTATCTACTTTATTTCTGTCCTGTTGGGTAGTGAACCAGACGAAAATTGAATATTTAAACCTAAAACGAAAGGAAGAGAGTAAATAAAAAATTAATTTCTACCCGTTTACGTTCCATTCATGTTCCTGAGTGCCGAAAAAATTGAAAGTCATTGTTCAATTTTAGGTTTTACTTAATTAACATTTACTTCTTGGTTGTAAAATAACCGAAAATAACTTTAGAACTTTTCTAGAGTGAAAGGGGAAAAACAAAGGGGGAAAATCAAAGAGTTATTGGCACTCAATATCGCAAAGTTTATTGCTTCAAACCCTCTTCCACCCAAAGTTTACTCAACTTTAACTTTGATACCTTAAAATTTTTATCCACAAAATGTCCCAGTGTGTTGACCTCATTTTTAATTTTGATACCTTAGGGAGTTTTCCAAAAAACGCCCCAACATTTGCCTCATTTTTAAATTTGGTGCCCCAATGTTTTTTTGCCTGAAAAACGCCTCGAAGTTAAGCAAAATTTAACTTTGATAGTCGAAACTTTGACAAAATTTAATCTTTTATACAAAACTTTAACAAAATTTAACCGAAAATTGAGTGCGGGGTAATCAAAGTTAAATTTTGTTGAACTTTAGAGTATTCTTTGGAAAAAAAGAAACTTTGAGGCATCAACATTTAATTTTTTGCCATTTAGGGTACTTTATGGAAAAGGGGAAAAAAAACTTTAGAATAACAAAGTTAGAAATAAATAAACTTTAACGTTTTAAGTGCAGATAATTAACACCTGAAACAAGAAGATGTTCCTTATAAATTATAAATTTAACCTTGAATTTGCTACCGGGAGTGTAACAAATAGGGTAAAATTCACAAAAACCCTTGGAACTTGGGATTTTATTTCACATATACACACTTGTACATTGAGGTGCAATCCCGTAAACTTTAACCTTTCCTCATCGCACTTCTCACTTGTAATTTTCAAATAACTAAAATTTTTTAAAAGAAATTTTTTTTATATAAGTCACGGAGCTAGAAATTTACCCCTTGGGGGGGCGCTGTGTGTGGAGTGTGGTGGATATTACTTATTTAATTCATTAAAAAGAAATTTTTTGTTAGTCCATTAAATCTATAATATTTTCAAGTCCGTCCCTCATATTATTCTATTAGGCCCCCCAACTTTCATGATTATGAAACTATTCACAAGAATTAGAGAACTTAATAGCAATTTCATTGATTTGAGTGGCTGATTATAAAATAACTTAAGGATTTTGTGTGACTTTATAGCAATTTCAACGATTGAGGGACACATATCAAATCAAAAGTACAAATAACCTTTTTTGGGTGTGCTTGAGGTGTTGTTTGTGGTGGTCCTATTTTAAATCTTGTTAGGGCCCGTTTGGTTGGTTTCCTAAAAATCAAGAAAAGGAAATCGGTACAAGGAAATCAATAAAATAATATTTTTACCCATTTCCATCCCTAAAACTCACCCACAACATCTAATAAAATATTATTTTTATCTTCCAACTCATCTCATTTCATCTCCTTTCTTACATTTAAAAATAAACCAAACACAAGAAATGTGTCACATCATCCAACTCATCACAACTCATCTTATCCCATTTTTAAAAATCACACACATCATCCAATAATATTGTGACAACTCATCTCATCTCATTAAACATTCCTTTCCATCCATTTCCTCAAAAAAAAACAAGAAATTGGTTTCCTTAAGTACGTGTCACATCATCCAATAATATACCTCCAACTCATCTCATCTCATCTATTTTCCTATTTTTAAAAACGAACCAAACACAAACAACCTCAAAACATCATCCAATAATATACCTCCAATTCATTTCCTTATTTTTTTAACCAACCAAACAACCTCAAAACAATTTTTTTTTAAAATCACTCACATCATCCAATAATAAGTTGACAACTCATCTCATCTTATCTCCTATTCTACAATTTCTTTCTTTTTTAAACCAACCAAACAACCTCAAAACAAATATTATAGGAAATAGGTTTCCTATTCTTTGATTTCCCAAAAAAAATGGCCAAACGAACAGCCCCTTATTGTCATTTAACTGGCTGACTTACCCCCATCCGTAATTTTTGGGGTAAGATTTTAGTTTAATTTCCCTCTCATTTCCCTCCTCTACCATTCTAAATGGAACTCTCAAACAAAAGTAAACCAAATTTTCCTTCTCCTTCCTTTCTCTACCTTCCATCCAAACAGACTATAATGGTGTGTTTGGGAGTTTACTAAGGGAAGGGAAGGAAAGGTAAACAACGGGAAGAGAAGGGAAGGGAAGGGAAGGGAAGGGAAGAGAATTGTAATATGTTGTTTGGGAGTTGAGTAAGGTGAATGAAGGTGAAAGGAAGTAAATATATGTAAATTTACATAAATGATTTTATACTAATAACACATCAGCCCTTTTATTTGTTTTGATGGGGGTAAGAATGTCATTACACCCCTTTACCCTCCTTTACCCTCTTCTACCGCCCAAATCGGGGGGAAAGAAAACCAAGCAATTTTACCATCCTTTTCCCTTCCTTCCTCCTCTCTACCCTCCTTAAAAAAACTCTCAAACAAGATGAAAGCCGCATTTCTCTTCCCCTCCCCCTCTCTACCCTCCATCCAAACAGGGCATAAGGGAAGGGAAGGGGGGGAAGTGAAGGGGAGGAAAAGGAAGGGAACTTGTCAAATTTCCCCTCTTCTCATTTACCCCCTAGTTTGGGGTGTAAGATTTTAGTATAAATTTTCCTCATTTCCCTCCTCTACCCATCCAATAAAACTCTCAAATAAGATTA